AACCCCAGAAGCTTAATGAAAGCTCACTGTTCTCTAGTTTCTGTATCTGGTCTCAGTTCCAACATAAAGAGTTTAGATAATCATGACCCAGAGAGTGGCAGAGGTGGCAAAAGAGCAGGTGAAGATGAATTTGAATGATTATAATGGAGTTAAGCAAGAAATTTTCCCTAGAAGCATTTTCTTTTGTAATTTTTTTATTTTTTATTGTTATTATAAAGGCGATGTATGGAGGGGTTACAGTTACATAAGTCACAGAAAGAGTACATTTCTTTTTGGACAATGTCATCCCTTCCCTCACCTAGAATCATTTTCTAACCAGGAAACATAAGCTTCATTTCCTGAAAGCATTGCTTCTTATTACTGCATTTGGTCAAAGGGAGGTGGTATTTAGGTAGTACCCCCAAAAAGAAGAAAACGGTCAGGGAGAACAATTCACTCCTCCCTGAAAGTGTAAACAGGAAAGCAATAGACTCTTGTGTTTTTACTTTTTTAAAGTACAACATAAACATATAAAAATTATTGCACAGGACACTTAGGAGCTTCCTAACTTTCCATATCTTTGCTCCAAACAAAATAGAGTTCCAGCTTTTTCTTTGTATATTCCACTGTAAAGCCAACAGAGCGTTGGGGAATTTCTCAGTTGTTTGGGATGGTTGGTAATACAGAACAAGCTGTATGGATTACTTTGAAATGTCCGTTGGTGTTGCTTACCCAAGAGGAGTCATCAGAGATTTGTTCCACACTGTGCATCCTGGAAAGCCAAAAGGAATTTTCTAAGAAGAAGAGCAACAAACATAATGTTTTCACCACTGAGTGACTCTCAGCCTCACAGCTCTCTATAAAACTGAGCTGATGGGATGTTTGATGTCAGAGCTACTGTCCCACACATAAATATCTAGAGTGGAGAATGTCTCTCATAGGAAGAACATATTTTTGTCAAGTTTCTTTTTCTTGGTCTTAATATAGTCTTGAAAATCAGAAGCCATAGCCCTAAGTCACCTCCCTTCAGACTTGTCTGTACCATCCATCTTTACAGAACTATCCACTTAGGATAGTTCTTTAGTATTCTGTGGTTCTACAGTAAATTTAATGTCTTTAGAGCCCAGAGTTACTCTTGCTCGGGTCAATGGCACTAATGAAGTGCTAAGTTCACTCTTACTGCCCAGACTGATCAGAGGCAGAAAAGTGGCTCTGCCATGTAAGAAGTCTATAAAACACTCTTCTTGTGGGAAAGAGCCAACCACATACAAATAAAAAGATTACCCATGTTTTCTTTGCCAAAAATAAAAGTTTCCAGCCATGAACTTGTAAAGCCTGGTATGTTTTAGCATAAAACAATAAAAACAGACTTATTTTTATTTAATAGACCTGTCTACCAGGTCTGTTGTTGTTGCTTTTCAGTAGCAGGTTTGGAGAGAGCAGTACTTGATCATTAACTAAATGTCAACATTGAGTACATTTTCTCAGAGGAGTTTAGCTTCTAGGGCTTCTCTATTGAAAAAGTAGAAATTGTTAAGGACAGAGAAGTACCATTTCCCCTCACCATAAACCAGACTGAGTTCATCTCTGCAGAGCTAATACTGTTTGTTACAACTACATGGGTGCAAGAAAGTGGCCAGAAGCATCTCTGCTTCATGCAGAATTTAGGAACGCTGCCCCACAGCCTGACTGCCCATGTCATCAGCTGAGTAGCCTTGGGCAGGTTATTTAATATATCTGTGATTCAGACCCCTTTTCTGACAAGGGGAGATATATTAGTGTCTTCCTGGAGGATATAAAGGATGAAATCTAACATGCAGAGTGTTTTGCCTGGTATCTGGCACACCCAAATGCTAAAAAGAAAAAGGGGGGCAACATCTTCACAATATTTATCATGCCCATCTAATGTTCTTATTTTAATATTGTAGTACTTGAATATTTAAATACTATTGTTATTTTAAAATACTCAAGTTTTATCCAAGATTTGATTTAAAAGAATATATCCTACAAGTAGAAAATGAGTATATTTTGCTACAAATATAAGATGACCATAGCATAGCAATAGATAGATTGACTAAGTCCTCACTACTAGGTGGACACTCTGTCCAATGACTTGACTCGTTACACTCCTCATGGTCCTAAGGGGTCAGTGCTGTCACCACACCCTTTTAACAGATGAAAAAAACTGAAACTGTGAACAGGTGCTTCAGGCTCCAGAAACCCATTTCTTCAGTCTGTTCTGTGCTTCTGCCTGCCAGAATATGCCTGAATGCATATGCACATAATAAATGATTAGTATATTAGCCTCCCAGAGCTGGGGTATAAACTGCCATAAAACTGGTTGTCCTGAAGCAGCAGTAACATACTCTATCACAACTCTGGAGGCTAGAAATCCAGCACAGCAGGACTGTGCTGCCTTCAAAATCTCTCCCTTGACTCTTCCAGCTTCTGGCTACTGCAGCCATACCTTGGCTTGTGACAGCATCACTCCAGACTCTGCCTCCCTGGTGTCTTCCTCCAGGTATCTCTAGCTCTGTGTGTCTTCTCCTTTTCTAATAAGGACACTGGCCATTTTGGGTTAGAGCTTCCTAATGGCCTAGCAAAGTTACATTCACACATATAGACAGATGGTTTTTTGTTTTGTTTTATTGGTTTGTTGAGTAAGGGATGCAGGAGATAAATTCAACAATTATCTACCAAGCAAACACTTATCTATCTAAGGCTTTGTGCCTGGAGCCTGTAAGTGTTAGGGAAGGACTCGAGATTAGTTCAAACCTAAGACTTTCTCCTTTATGCAACCAAGTACTGATTTGAGCCAAATCAAAATAGATGAAGGTCAATGGCTTATGTGTTTCACTGGCATGTGGTGCTCAATCCAGGAGCTAATTAAAATTGATTATCTCCTGTACCATCACTGATATTTTAGGGAAAATGCACACTTTTTTCTTTTTAATTATCTTTAAGTAGTTGTACAAACAAGTTGCCATTTAACAAAGTTTATGAATACAATTACCTTGATCAGTGTTAGCCCTTCCAAAACCCTCATCCCTCCCTTACCCAATCCTCCTCTCACTCTTCTAAATTTTGTGGGATATACATTGTATTCTTGACTGTAGTCTTGCACTTCTCCTCTTCATTTGTCTAACCTCTTTCCCCTTGATGGCTCCACCCTTTCGAGTACACACTTCATAGTGTTTATTTTACCAATTTTGATTTTGCCTTTATAAGGAATTACACAATCTGAGATCACTCTTGAATGTAACATATTTCAGCTAATACATTTATATATATGTTCATACTACCCAACGTATTTACTTATAAATTTATAAGCTAAATGCATTTTCACATGGAAAAGAAAACATAGAATTTCAATAGACACATGAAGAAATGCTCAACTTCTCTAGCCATAAAAGAAATGCAAATCAAAACAGCATTGAGATTCCACCTCACCCCAGTTAGAATGGCTATAATCAAGAGCTCTAATAACAACAGATGCTGGAGGGAATGTGGCCAGAAGGGAACACTACTACATTGTTGGTGGGAGTGTAAACTTGTTCAGCCACTTTGGAAAGCAGTATGGAGGTTCCTCAAAAGACTCCACATAGAGCTCCCCTATGACCCCACTTTTGGGCATTTACCCAAATGACTACAAAATAAGGCCATCCTAAAGCTACCAGCACTATTATGTTTATTGCAACATTATTTACCATAGCTAAGATATGGAACCAACCCAGATGCCACTCGGTAGATTAATGGATCAAGAAAATATGATATATATATATATATATATATGTATATATATAATGAAATTCTATGCCTCCATCAGAAAGAATGACATCGCCCCATTCGTTAGGAAATGGACTTATAAAAAATTATATTAAGTGAAGTAAGCCAGACCCAAAGAAATATATAGGTCCCATGGATTCCCTTATTTGCAATAACTAGTATATGTTTAGGGTAATCATACCAGACAAGCAGAAAAGGTCAAAGCTATGTACATATGACCATCTAAGATGATGCTAAGCAAAATGAACTCCAAGATCAGGACACAAGAGGTTTTATCTTCTTGCTGTTGTTTTTAATATACTTATGATATACTATGTGGTTTTTTTGTTTCTTTTGTATGTTCTTCCCCCCTGGTATAACTCCTGTTTTCACTGTATTTGATTCCTGTGCCCTACATCTTGTATATACATTTTTCTAATTTGGGGAGAGGAAGGTAAATAACAAAATGCTGAAATAAGGATTCAAGTTGACCCACTGTAACAATGAGATGTACAAAACACTGTTGAAAACGAATTTTACAACTTAGGGCGGGGGGGGAGGGAGGAGTTGGGGAGGTGGGAAATGAAGGAATGGTAGGGGAAAAACAAAGGAGGGGGTAACAATGCTCAATAGGAAATGTACTCATTACCTTACTCATGTAACTGTAATCCCTCTGTACAGTATTTATACAATAAAAATAAACATTTAAAAAAAGAAAGTAAGTTGGCTTGATCCAAAAAAGCCAGGTAACAGTTCATTCAGTCTCCAGATACACTTCTGAATGGATAGCAATAGGAAGCTGGGAGGGTGGGCAGGAACTGATCTCTAGAACACACTTTGGTTTTTAGGGTTTTGTTGTTGTTGTTGTCATCGTCAGTCCTAGGTGCTTGGGTGCTTTCCCTGAGCTTTTTTGCTCAAGGCTAGTGCTCTACTACTTGAGCCACAGATCTACTTACAGCTTTTTGGTGATTAACTGCACATAAGCGTCCCATGGACTGCTCTTCCCAGGCTGGTTTTGAACCATGGTCTTCAGATTGCAACCAAATGAGTAACTAGGATTACAGGTAAGAACCTAACTAGACTACTGCACTGGAATAGCAAATTCAAACTATTTACTCAAGTTTTCATCAGGAAATATGCAAAGAAAGAACAACAACAGAGACAGTCATGGAAGATACCATTTATTTTCTAGTATCTCAGTGAAAATTCAAGAAAAAGAATCTACAGAAAGGGATTAACAGGAGGGTGGGGGAGGATAGGGAAGGAGTAAGGGAAAGGAGTTATTTTGTTCTATCAGACCAGGGTGTCCTTGGTTGAAGGGACTTCACAGATTTCATAGAGTTGAGAGGTTCTCATCTTGAGTTCCCGGGCCACCTGGCAGATGGAAAAAGGCCAACAGCAGTACACTGCCAGCCAATCCTCACACAATGTGCCCTAGGGCAAAATGAGGGTCTCTGTTCTGTGGAAATTCCCCAGGTTCATTACCATTAATGTTACCTACTGGCCCCTCCCACCCACAGCTTTCAAGATCCACCAACCCCTTAAGCCAACAGGAAGGACACTGCATGGCCCACATGCCAGATGCTCAGTGGCTGTTCATAGCCTGCAGTTCAGAGCTTTGTCCCCTACAACCCTTGACATAGGCCTCTTATTTGAAACTACTTATTTATCTGTTAATATCTGGCTATTTGTTGCTGTTTTCTCCAAGGGTAGACTTACTATTTGTAATTATCAAATTGATTTTTTTCAGAGTATGTAATAAGTTCAATGGCCCCAAATTCCCACAGTAAACAGTGATAAGGGAGGCGCGGGTGTTGGTGGCTCACACCTGTAATCCTCTACTCCAGGCTGAGATCTGAGCATTATGGTTCAAACCTATCCCAGGCATGAGACTCTAATCTCTAAATAACCACCAAAAAGCTAGAAGTAGAGGTGTGGTTCAAGTGATAGAGTGACAGCCTAGAGTGGGAAAACTGAGAGTCAACATCAGGCCTTGAGTTGAAGCCCTACTACTGGTACAAATAATTTTTTAAAAGGACTGGGAAGGTAGCTCAGTAGTAGAGTGCTTGTGTCATATGCATGAGGCCCTGGGTTCGATTCCTCAGCACCACATAAGCAGAAAAAGCTGGAAGTGGTGCTGTGGCTCAAGTGGTCGAACACTAGCCTTGGGCTGAAGAGCTGAGGGACAGCACCCAGGCCTAGAGTTCAGGCCCCACAACCGACCAAAAAAAAAGAGGGGGACAGGGAAATAAAAAGTAAATCCCTTCTAGTTAGCTGTCTGAAATTAGCAGTTTCAGAGAGAGAAAGAGAGAGAGAGAGAGAGAGAGTGTGTGTGTGTGTGTGTGTGTGTGTGTGTGTGTACCAGTTCTGGGGCTTGAACTCAGGGCCTGCATGCTCTTGAGCTTTTTTGTTCAAGGCTTGTGTTCTATCACTTTAGCCACACTTCCACTTTCAGCTTTTTGGTAGTTAATTGAAAATAAGAGTCTCATGGACTTTCCTGTCCAGGATGACTTTGAACTATGATCCTCAGATCTCAGTCTCCTGAGTAGCTAGAATTATAGGAGTGAGCCACCAGCGCCTTGCTTGGAATTAGCACTTTCTTGTATGTACTTCCAGAAAATGCAGTCTACATAATTATATACAATTATAACCTTTTTACGTGAATAGTTGCATGTTTCTAAGCCTTGGGGTTTTTTTAACCTAAAAATATATTGTAGGCACCATTCCATGGAACACCTAAAGGAATTACTTTCTAAAACCGAATCACATCCTGATATGTGTCATCTATTTCTCCCTAACCTCTTTAGGAACTTCGGTCTCTGCTGGTCTGGAAATTGACTCTCTGGCTCTTCAAAAGGCTCCAGAGAACCCCCAAAGTGAATTCTGCATGTCATCTAGGCTATACCTCCCAAGTGTATCCTTCAAACTTGATTCCATCTGTCATCCTCTCCTGAAGCAGGAGGAGACAGTGTGGTTTTATTTTTGTAGATGGCAGGGCATGTGTGTTAGCGTAGAGAGGAGGACTAAGCAATCATGTCTACATCCTCCTGTTGCTGTTCATCAAAGCACAACCCAGAGAACACAGCTGAGCCAATGAACTGATCCAGCCACTGACCTACAATCTGCATTGTCATTTTCCCCAGGAGTTCCCCTTCCCAAACTGTATCTTAGTTAACTTACCCTTCCTAGTGAAGAATGAAATAGGAATTGTCTTTCAGAGGGGAGTCACTGCTTGTGGGGAGATCACAGACCTGCGAGGTATCCAGATTCTCATGTAGGTACCCCAAATGCACTCACCTGGATTTTATGTCTCTCTCTGGTGCCAGTTCTCAGTGCCAAGGCAGACCCAGGTAACAGTGGCCAACAAAGACACTCTCCATAATGCCTGGCGATGTCACACTCAAGACACATGGGACAAAACAGACCACAGAAACCTGTCAATACCACATAACAGAAAGCCAGGGTTCTTAGATGGGCAGGGAGCAACATCTGGTCTTAAATAGCTTTTACATCTCTAGCTCATCAATGCAATGCTGAACATTGCCTGAATGCAGTCAGGAACTGGGAATGAAAGTCTGTGCTGAAACTTGTCCTAAGTGAGCCACATCAGAATTGTGTTCTTTTGTAAACCACCGGTAACGCTGAAGCTGAAGTTAGTATTGGTGAAAAATAATTGTTCTTTGTGTCCAAAGTATTAAATAATTTTTGAATCACAACTGTTGCTTCCATCACATTCATCTATCTCACATCAATATTTCAAATGGACACAGTACAGAGGATATCCTTGGATAACAGTCATGTTTTTGTATCAATATGATTGAATACTTTTTGTTAGTACTAATTCTGCTTCCTATCAGGGCTTTCTGTTATTTCTCAGTCCAGAAGTTTATTTCATTTTTTGTGAGTTTCATGGAGCCACTGGCATGTGTCAGCTTTAATCTGCAAACCACGAAGCACTTGGTTCCTCAAATGTCAACTGGACACAACTTGTCACTGTTAGTTCATCTTCAGCGATTAAAATAGTTTCTTACACATGCAGCATGAACCTTCCAACACAGAGATTCTATCCCAAATATGTTATGGGTCACAGACTCTTTTGAGAATATGGTGATAGTTACAAATTTGCTTTCAGAGGACAGGAAAAATGCAAGCACATGGGCACAAAAAATTGTGCATTTCAATTTCATGGAGTTCATGAACTCATTGAAAACTATTAGAAGAACACAGGTTAAGAACCCCTGATATACAGTTAAGATGTTATGTCAGGAGTCAGTGGCTCATGCCAGTTATCCTAACTCCTCAGGAGGCTGATATTCTGAAAAGTGAGACCAAAAGCCAGAAGTAGAGCTGTGGAAAAGTGCTAGACTTGAGCAAAAAGCTCAGGGATAGCACCCAGGCCCTAAGTTCAAGCCACAGGACAGGTACATACATGAATAAAAATACTATATTATGCCAGGTGCTGGTGGCTCATGCCGATAATTCTAACGACTCAGGAGGCTGAGATCTGAGGAGAGTGGTTCAAATCGAGACCAAGAAGGAAAGTCTGTGAGACAATTATCTCCAATTAATCACCAAAACTCCTGAAGTGGCATTGTGGCTCAAATGGTCGAGCCTTTGCTTGAGCTGAAGAGCCTAGGGACAGCACCCAGGCCTAGAGTTCAAGCTCCACAACTGACAAAAAAAAAAAAGTCTTAAATATTCAGTTTGGATGCGTTTCTACAACCATATTCAAAAGCAAGTAACCAAAATAGAAAGCCATTGGCCTCACCCACATGCCTTGGGCACATTTAATCAGTCCCAATTCTCCCAATACTGAGGCCTGAGGCGTTCCGGGAAGATGGCGGAGGAGAAGCTGGAGTCTAAACAACTCTCACATAGAAAGCAGTTTTAGAGTTCCAGTGAACAGTCCTAAGCCAGAGAATCACACCAAGTGTGCCATCACAGGACAGAGAGTTAGGCCAGAGAGGGAAAATCCAGGAAAGGAGACAGATCTGAGCACTTGCCAGAAGCCATGGCTGCGGGGGCGCGCAGCCACCATACCTGCAACACACAGAGTCTGTGCAGAAGGAGCCAGATGCGGCACGCGAGCAGATTCTACTCAACACCAGCAAGAACTGACAAGGAGCAGACATCTTCATCCTGCAGTTCGCAGACCAGAGGGCCCAGGAACCCAATACTCCATATTCCTGAGGGATCCACTGTTCTGAATTCTGTTCCCATAGATGAATTTCATCCTTTCTTAGACTTCAAATATATGGAGGTATGGTGGCTATGGCCGCTGCTGCCGCGGCTGCCATGGCTGCTGGCAAGTGCTCAGATCTGTCTCCTTTCCTGGATTTTCTCTCTCTGGCCTAACTCTCTGTCCTGTGATGGCACACTTGGTGTGATTCTCTGGCTTAGGACTGTTCACTGGAACTCTAAAACTGCTTTCTATGTTTACTTCTGTATCTGGTTTCTTTTGTTCAGCATGTACATATACCTTGTTAAATGTCCCTTGTTATGTGACATCTGTAGTTTGTTTTTGTTTTGTTTTGTTGCCCCCCCATTTTGATATGTGGTCTCTTTATGTAACCTAAGCTGGCCTGGATCTTCTGTCTTTGCCTCCTGAATAGCTAGGATTACACTTGTAACCATGCCTACCTTCATCTAGAAGTCTTTATATGGACGTATGCTTTCATTTTACTTTTGTGAATTCCTGAGTGTGGAACTGCCAGGCCACAAAGCAGATACATATTTAACTTTCCAAGAAATGGCAAACAGTTCTCCAAAGTATTTGTAGCATTTCACCATAGTCTTTCAGGGTACCAAACACAAAGGTTCTTTTGCCTTAACACCAGCACACTAGAAGAACTTCCTATCTCTACTCACTCCTCCTTTCCCCAGCTGTGAGCTGTGAAGTTCTCTCCCAAACACAGTGGCCAAGAATCACAGTGAGGAATGTTGCAGGATATTGGAGTTTTTCTCCTTCATCTAGTGGGTGAAGTAGTACTTATGCAGAAAAGTCATATGGGCTGAGGGAAAGGAAGGAACAGCCTAGATTGAAAGAGCAGGACATCTGTTTCATCCACTCAAGACTGTCAAGATTATCACAGTATCATCTACTGTGGATATCACATGGCCCAAAGCCATGTTCAGCTTTAAGAAAATCTACATTTAAAAAAATTCTGGGGAGATCAGGAGGCCCAGCCCAGTGCTGACAACTACTATGAAGAGCTTAAAGAGCAGAAAATAATCCAGTAATTTCACAGCAGTAAGAAGTGGTCACAGTGTACACAACTTTGAATTAGAGGAATTTGAAAGTAATGGCACACCTGTAATCCTGGCTACTAAGGAGGCTAAGATTTAAGAATGGAGATTTGAAGTCGGCCCAGGCATAAAAGTCTGTGAGACTCTGATCTCCAACTAACCAGCAAAAAGCTATAAGTGGAGGTGTGATTCGAGTGGTAGAGCAAAAAAGCTAAGGGACAATGATCAGGCCCTGAGTTCAAGCCCTGAGGCTAGTATGCATACACACACACACACACACACACACACACACACACACATCACACTTGATGTATGGTTTACCAAAGAGTGTAAATCTCAGCAAATGGATATGGATCACAAATGCATAATGATAAAGTTGACGATCTAAGTGACTAACAAATGTGTTTGCACAATCTCCTCATCTGCAGCTCCTTAACTGGTAGAGAGGAACAGTCAGCACACGTGGTAAGCACATAGTAATGAAGCTGTTTGTGTAAAGCAGCTTTGGAGCTTCTGTGCCATATCACTGTGAGTCACAGGCTGTTAGTCTTATTTTCTATCCTTTTTTTCATTCAACCATGTTATCTAAGCACTCTTTCAGAGGTACTGAAACACGTCTAAATACAATCAGTTTGAAATAGAAGTCAGCTGTAAATTAGAAAAAAAATAATGAAAACCAATAATGTTAAAGAGGTGACATGGATCAAGATGCACTGTATTCATAAACTGCCTTGGTGAATGGCAACTCCTTTGTACAAGTACTTAAAGATAATAAAAATATTCAAAAATAATAATGAAGATGAAGCTTTTATTCTATAATAGCTAATAATGTTTTCAGAATTCACTATGTGCCAATCCATGCTGAAAATATTTTGCACATAATAACTCATTTAATTTCTGCAACAATCCCATAAAATAGGCACACCTGTCATTCCCATTTTACAAGAGAGAAAACTGATCTCTAGAAGACCTAAGTAATTTGCCCAAGTTCATATCATTCTGAGTGAGGGGTAGAAGCTAGAGTTGATCTCAAAAAGTCTGGTCCCAAAAGCTTAATGCTATATTCTCATGTGTTATGGATTCATCTACTTTACCACAGTGATAGTGGGCTTCTGTGCACCAGGATAGCATCCCATGATCACTACTTTACAATGTGTTTGTTTCCCTGTAGGACATTCTGCAACTATGCGGGTTTTTTTGTTTTTCTTTTGGGGGGTCCGGTCGTGGGGCCTGAACTCTGGGCCTGGGCGCTGTCTCTCAGCTCTTCAGCTCAAGGCTAGCGCTCTACCACTTGAGCCAGAGCGCCACTTCCGGCTTTTTTCTTTTTGCTTATGTGGTGCTGAGGAATCGAACCCAGGGCCTCAGGCATGCAAGGCAAGCGCTCTACCACTGAGCCA